GTTTGCCTCTTCCTTCCCAGAGGACACCAAGAGAGTTGGACACAGCTTCAGCAGCTTTTCATCTGTGAAGCAATACATGGGGTTTATGGAGAGGCTTAATTAGCTGCCATAAGGATGAAAATTATTTGACCTTTTAACATACTGCAAGAGCAAGCTACATTAAGAAACCTTGCACTGGAGAGATATGGGAGAACTTCAGGGTGTATGCGCTGGCTTCAAAGTGAGCATGTGATTCTCCTTGCTGCAGAGGGCTTTGCACACACCAAGATGGCAGGAAACACTATGGCTTATGTTCACGGCTTTTGATTCTTTGTCAGGGCCATTTTCAATAGAGGGGTTTATCACCATCACGATCCCCTGAGTGAACCCAAGCTCCAGGAGCACACAGAAGCATCTGGGAATGTCTGCCAGGAAGAAGGGAGTTAGAACAAAATTAGTTTATGTTATGTTCTATTTTATTCTTTGCACTCTGTAGATTTGTTTGACACATTCCCAATGAATGTATAAAGCCTGACATGAAGAGCTTATATATATATAACATATACAGCGTGTCCAATCATCCAGACTGTGTTAAGCACCAGCCCTCATCCTTTCTCATTCTCAGGCTCCAAAAAATGACAGCTCCAATATTTTTACATGGCCAGGCTCAAATACGTATGCTGCACAGTTGCTCCTATACGGCCAATAACTGAGACTCAGTGGGCAGGAAAATGTTAAGTGGAGTAAGAAACTTTGGTGCTTTCACCTCCAGAAGAACTTGCTCATGGTTGGTCCTAAGGAACAAACTGGCCCCATAGCCAAGAGAACAAAACCAGACACAGCACATACTTTTCTTACTTTTTATATAAAATAGACATTTACATACATTTTCTTTTGCAAAGACTTCAAGCATAACATTTTATGTGAAAACTAGCCATAAGTCCCACAGTGAAAAAAGCAAAGACTTTGCAAATTCCTGTACCACTGACAGACATCCAGCTGCTGCTAAGTGTGAATTTATTTTTAAAAGATTTCTAAATCCATGGGCTGCTTTCTTGTTTGGTTGGTTTTCTTTTAAGAGATATGCACAACTGGTTAAAAAAAACTAGATACAGAAGTAAGAACCATATTAACAACAGGCAATGCAAACAACTCCCGCATGAGAGGAACACGCAGCGTGACATCCACTTCAGGCAGAGATTTCTACAGAAATACAGTTGTCGAAGCCGTAACTTTTACAGAGGATACCACCGGAGGTATTTTCCAGAAAAGAAAAATTTCAGCACGTCAGTACAAACATGGCAGTGAACTTTTGCACAAAGTTACTGAGATCACCTGAAGCCGCTTTGCCGCACTGAAACACGAGTGAATGCCAAGCGCTTTTTTTTTTTTTTTCCCTTTTTCTTTTTTTTTGCTGCTGGGTTTAAATGTACACGAAAGCAAAGTGGTGCATTTTGAAACTGCTGCAACAGACTGAAGGCTGGGGAAAAAAAACCCTCTCAGGGCTACATTTTTCCAAAGATTGTGCATAATTGCATATATGAAAGATAGAAATTGAGCACTTGGTCAGCTTAATCACATACAGATTGAGGACACTTATACATATATCAACTTTTTCACTGTGTTGGAGGACGAGTGGGGCAAAAGATCATACAACTGTATTCTAAATTGCCTAATTATTAAAAATGAGAACGATTTTCTTCTTTCACGAAATATTGTACACCATATCTCGCCTGGTTTCTGTAACTGTTAAGAAGCTTTCATAGCTTTCAAATTATTTTAGGAGTGTCCAGCCTCCCCTGCAAATTAGGCTCTTTATTTTGGGTATTTTTCACTTACACTTCTTCCAACCATGTACATGCAAGCACACGCCTCCCCTCCCTGTCCTCATTGAGATCTTGGGAAAGGAAGCCATTTGCACTACTAGATTCACTTACTGTTTAGCCAAAACATGTTGCCTGTACATTTGTAGGAAAATCTAGTCCCAGGAGTCTATGAGAGAGAGGAAAATGCCCCCCACTGCATCATTTATCTTGGGGGATGGAAAAGGAATGGAAACAAAGAATGCTGAACTTTAAATAATAAAATAAAACAAAATCCATCAGCTGAAAATATTATTCACAGGGAAAGGAAAAAGCAACACAATTATTATGTTTTTCATTTAGGATTAAAATGCACAGTGAGTGAGTACATGAAAGTCCTGTCTAACCAGCTTTCTGTTAATTCTCCACTTTTAATACCGGTGAGCACTGAGGTTTAGCCAATGCAACTCACAGAGAGGGAGCTCTCCCCACCAGGCACAGCTTCAGCCATTTACTAATTTGTAATCTCTGCTAACCATGCTGAGCACTGGCGTTGGCAGAAAACAATGTATTTATAATGCATCATTTTAGAAGCTGTGCAATGCTAGAGGAAGAGGACATTTGCTATGATTAATTAGGATAATACCCAGTTTATCACAAGGTAAGTCGCTCTATTTATCTTCCACCAAGAGCATTCCCTTTTGGTGGATGTAACCCATTTCATATCATACTCCATTCCTCTTCTTTGCCTGCAATAAACCTTTCACACGACTAATGTCCTGAACAAACACAGCGTTTCAGCATGGATGCCAACGAGACAGGGAGTCAGCTCGAAACTTCACAAGGGTTTAACTGCTTTGGTAGCTCAGGGTCTGAATCGTCCTCCAAATACACTGTCAGTTTGCAGACTGTCATCCTGCATAGATGGGGTGTAAAGTGCCAGTTCAGGAAAGTGGGGTTCACTACCGAGCCCTCCTCTCTCCATAACTACCATATACCCAGCTCCAAAATGAGGAGTCAGCCTTTCAGCACATAAACGTAATCTGGTTCAAGTGGGATTAAACTCTGTGGATATGTTACCTGCCTAATTCAGGTGAGTGGATGAACATATGCCATTGCCTTCCAACCAAACCCCATCCCTCAACGGAGGATGGCCTCATCTTTCTATGTTATTCCACAAGGAAGACAGTGTTGCAAAAACAGTGATCCTTCTCCAAGATCTGGGAGGGCAGGACCCAAAGCTTTATTACACTTTTACCCGTGCACTGGTTTTAGGTCAAGATGACTTTGATCAGGTTCTAGGACAAGAACAAGACAATAATTTCTACCAGGTCTCCCAGGAAAGACAAACTAAGATTAAGCTGAAGTTAACAACACAAAACCAAGTCATCCCCCTTGCAAAACACTGCTATAAAAAATACAACTTCTTTTTATATTTGAAAAAATATGTTTCATTGGCCACAATTTAAAGCCACACTGCTGTGGGGCTTGTAGAATATATTGTATTTATTTAATATATCTTTATGAGATGAAGTTTATAGCTGATAAACATTTTTAAATGAGACGTATCTCCCCCCACCCCTGTTCCCCACCCTTTGCTAGCTGTCAGAGCCCTCTGCAGATGCCTCCTTTGCAGAGACCCTTTGCACAGCACCACTGCCTGGGGCTGCACCAAACACTGCTCTGCCAGCCCCTAAACCACAGGCCGCCTGGCCACACGGGGCTTTGGTAAATGTGCCCCGAAGGCAGGCTCGCCTTGGGGAGGGAGGCAGAGAGCTTTATGGTCCAGGTGCCTCTGAATATCCCTGTAATGAATCATCTAGAACTTTGCAGCGTATGGTGGGGAACTGACTGCTCTCAGAGGCCATTTAAGCTTTTGCTTCCCCATCCCATGAGACTCTGCTGCTGTAAACCCATCTCCTTCCAGCTGTCCTGGCAGCACCAGGGCTGTGCAAAGCTACTCCATGCATGGCATCCTGCCATGGGACACCTGCCCAGGGGACCTGCAGAAACATCAGGTCAGCAAGTCCCGGGCCACAAAACTTCTGTGACGAGACAAGGGTTGCTGACCCAGCTCCAAGGCCCTCAAACCCACCCTTGGCCCCTGAAAAGAGACTGCTTGGGCTGGGGGGAGAAGGGAAAATTCACCAGTGAAACACTTGCTCATTTTGGTCCCAGCTGCTTCCTTGAGAAGCTACTTTGAAGGGAGAGAGCCCAGAAATATGTCATCACCTCCCCTCAATCATCTTTTCCTCCCACCCCTGCCCAGCTGTAGGCACTGGGGCCAGTCTCCTCGGCCAGTGGAGACTAGTACATCCCAAGTCCAGCCTTGTCTCAGTGGGTGGAAAGCCATGGCACGCAGCTGTCCCATCACACCGAGCGAATCTGGAGCTTGCTGAGGTGCCAGGGCCAGCACCAACTAAACCCAGGTGCCACATGGGTCAATGCCACACAGACTTTTCCTGACAGATGTTATCAAGGCATCACATACCTAATCTGAACTGTCCTTTACAAACAACAGCAAACCCTGGGCTGCAGAGACTGCCCACCATCAAGCTCAAATATAACAACTTTTATGGTGGTTTCCTGCTGCAACAGGAAAAAGCCAACGACCTATCCTGATGTCCAAACCCCAAGGCAGTGGCACCAAGCCTGATCCCACTAACACTCTCTGTAAACTGGTACAAACCCAGGTGGGAGCAGCATAAGTGCTGTTATTGCAGTGGCAGGATGGTCCAACGTGCTCTGCAGCCACTTGCTTTAGAAACATCATTAGGGGGTGTTATTCAATCACGCCTTGGTGGTCCTGCATTTTCCTAAGTTCAGCCCATACAAGTCACAATGCCCAGCCATGTGGCCAGCTGAGAAGGATACTGCCCAATTCGTATAAAACAGAGAAAATATATTAATTATTTGATTCTTATAAGTTAAATAAATAAAGCTCAAAAATAAAAGCCTCAATTCTGAAGAGAATTTGTTTTCTCACTTCAGTATTTAAAAATATAGATTTATGACTGATCAGTTATAGGTCATTTTCCGTATCTTTTGGGGGAAGGGGTTTTGTCAGTGTTATCACCATGATAAACAGGCTTTGTCCCTGCACACCCATAAAAAAACCTCCCTAGTACCTTTCCAGCCTAGGAAATCTTCCCTAATCTCTCTGTGGCTTTACTTTACCTTCTATATTGATGAGATTGGTTGGTTGTTGTTTTTTTTTATTGGGAACTGGACAGGAGGACAAGTAATTCTAGAGCTTCCCATTGCCTTTGGATGCTTCCATTTTTTTTCAGAGTAATAATTACTTGGCCCAGAGGGAGAGGGCAAAGGGTAAAGCCATATGATATTTGACAACATTGACATCATGAACCTGAATTATTACAAAACAACTATTTTATGAGTAAAACATTCAGGTGAGGTTTTCCCTCAAAGGATCATTTGTCCTACTTGTAGAATCATCCTTCTAGGGCAATATTCGGACACTGTTTTCCCTTTCTTTAGGATAATTTTCAAGTCACATTTAGAGCTGTAAAAGTGGCCGCCATTTCCTCAGCATTAACTCCTTGAGACCTTTTTGTGTGACCATTATGACCATCTTTCCTGGCTCAGGAAGACCTGGCAGCACTTGCAATGAAGCCCATCAGTGGTACTTTACGTGGATGAGGTGAGCCTGTGTTGAGTAACGGGAGAGTACTACTTCACCCTTGCTTCAATGGATGAGTGCTTTGTCTCCATGGTTTCCCCAGTGATAACCAAGATATTGAAGATATGTGTCCCACCCACTCTCCTGGTGTGATTAAAATGGGTTCAGCCTAAACATGAAACTTGATTAAAGGAAGCTTTTCATTCATTCTCCAGCATGTCCCAGAGGAGCCAAGTGTCTCCTATAACTTTGGTCAAACATAAGCATGCATTCAAAATCTGCCTTCTGTAATTCTGAGTCCTATCAAAGTTCCTTCAACGTCACTTTGAGCAATAGGCTTCCACCACACTCTTCTCCAAGGGGCATGAGTTTCTTCCCACTGGTGACTGAATGCTATGTTTGGTCTTTCTCTTGGACTTCCTGAAACCGTTTCTCCAGGCGATCCAGTTTGGCCAGATTCTCCTTCAGCAACTTGCTGTTTGGGACCAGCTGTAAGGCTTTCTCATAGTAGCCACGGGCAGTGATATAGCTCCCCTACAAAGAAAAGGAGTGACAGATCTCAGTCACATTCTCTGACGTAGAAAGGAATGGGAACACCTTGGGAAATGATGGAGAGCATAATACAAAGGAAAAAGAGTTTATAAACCTTGACATTGTTAGGTAACGGGAATAATTCTTCATCATGAAATGGATCACTGAGTGCCATTAGCCTAAATTTGATCGAATACAAATGGCAAGAAGTAGATTTACATTTTTCCATTATGTTGTACCAGAAGCGTTAATTTTACTCAGCAATAGGATGGCTATCACACAATGTGACTCTTTTATGACCCAAATCATAATGATATGCTAAACTATTCAAAAAGATAAGCAACCACAGGGCGGACCATCTATTTCCATAATTTCATGCCAGCATTCTGCATTAGACATCTTTATTAAATTAATTAGGCAGAGAGGAATCTTAAAAGTTGACTCACGGTGACATTTTTCTAAGATAGGTCAACAGCTGAAGCAGAAAAACTTTATAGAGATGGGCAGGTCGCTCCTTGCACCCTGCCCTCTTACAAATACAGGATGTGCATTACAGGATACATATTCCCAAGCAACCTGGTTGGGAAATTCCAGTTGGGGTGGACAGACTTTTGTCCTTTTTGAATAAAACACGCTGGAGACACTCACTGTTCACACACATGCAACTCTTGGCAGTCTGAAACAAATTTAGATTTCTGCCCTGAGTAGTAGTCTCTGCAGTTGACGGCTTAAGGAAAAGCAAAATGGTCATACCTTGATGTGCTCAATGCCTCCCATATTCATCCAGGCCTGTGCTTGGTCTGGGTTGAGCTCCACAGCTCGTTTATAGCTCTACATAAAAATGAAACATTTATAGTTTAAGAGTCTGAGTCTTCAAACAAAAGCATTGCTGGAGGGGAAAGTAAAACTAAGTTTCCTCTCCCTCTGAATCCATTTAAAATACAATTTTAAATTATTCTCATATGCAATGCACAAGCTGACCTTCAGTTTCTTAACAGCAGAGGTGACATAACATACTGCCTCATGGCTGAGCTCATCTTGCAGGTTTTCCTTGCCCACGGTGCCGTATGAGGAGCCACATCAACCCCTGTGACCCTCTCCCTGCCACCCTGCACCACTGGGGTCTCCTGCACATCAGCGTCATTTCCTTGGGCAGGCGCCTGCCACCCACAAGCCATGCGTGGGCTGTGATGCTCCTCATTTGCAAGGCTTTAATTTGGAGCTGGCCAATTTGAACTGTGGTACAGCCACCCAGGTGGAGGTTTCAGAAGGACCTGAGGGCAGTGCTATCCCTCCCTGCTGCTTCTGTCACTGTGCATTGGAGAGGAAGCAACAAGGACCTCCTGGACTCTGTCAAACTATGCTGTTTTTACAGTGTCACAACAGGAAAGGATTCAAATCAGGATTAGACTTCTCTAGGGATATTGAGAATATTCAGAACTGTCCCAATAACAGAATTCTGTGCTATTATTTAATGCTAACATAATTTCTGAGCTATCAAGCCTCCTGCTCCACAGAATAAGCCAATCTCTCAGCTCTTAGGTAATGAGGTGAGATATAACAACATGGTGGGCTCTTACAGGTCCCAAAGCTTCCAGCTAAGACACCTGGAGTTGGTCAGAGGGGCTGGAGCTAAAGGAATCTAAGGTCTGGTCAATGAGAAGAGGCCTAGGCTCCTCAATAATCCCACCTCGACTCTGTACTTAACCTCTCAGAGCAGAGAGCTGTATTTTCACACAGGAAAAAAGGAAAAAAGTTGCAACCAAGTCCAGCAAAGTTAGCTACTGCATAGCTTTACCTGTACCACTGGTGAACTGCTAAGTTCCCAAGGCCAACAGCTATCAGATTAACAATGACCCAACTCTATCTTTTAACCTGTAAAACTATCCAGAGGGCTTAGAGCAGTCATACCTCGAAAGCCTTGTCAAGGAGATTCTGTTCTCGTAGCTGGTTTCCTTTAGTGAAAAAGAGCTCTGATATGACTTTTGGATCCTTTGGTTTTAGCTGAAGAGCTTTTTCTATAGCTTCAAGTGCCTGTGAAAAAGCGAGAGGACTTTGTGTTACTATATTCTGCGCCTTTCTGCTTCTCATGCTCTCCTCACCACTAGGGCCTCCCAGCATAAGAGTCATCTCCCTCCTCCTCTTGTTTGCCCCACACTATTAACACATGTGGAAATGAGTTTTTTAGATGCCTGTGGCTGATGGGTAGTGGGGCTGACAGCAGAAGGAGCAGTACGTGGTAAGAAAACCACACTGCTTAGCTTAAGTCCCAGCACCTAGGTAAACAGAAGGTTTTAGTGAAAATATAATTCTACTGAGTATCTGCTAAGGCGTGTGACACATCTCTGGGGAGACAGAGTGTAAAATTCAACTTGAGCTCTGTGTGTGAGTCCTTGGGACAAGGGTACCCTGCGGTCACAGTACCTTGGCATAGTGCTCCTGCTTGCTGTAAATGGCCGACAGAAGGCGGTAGCACTCCAGACACTCCACGTCCTCGTTGAGTATGTGGTTCGTCATCTTTTCGGCTTCCTTCGTCCGCCCCATCATTGCTAAAACCTGAGCCTACAGAACCACATTAGAAAGGTTTATGATCTTAAAAAGCTCAACCCTCCTTAAAACATGATGCTGCACTCAGCAGCTGGTGCTCCAGTCTCAGGGCCCTGACCCAGTCGAGCTCGCTCCACACTCACCAGTGCCAGTCGGATCTCTTTGTTGGAAGGCTGCAGTGATGCCGCTTCTCTGTAAACCTGCAATGCTTCTTCATACCGCCCCGTGTTGTAGTACAGAGCCCCCAGCGGGGACAGGATTTCAGTCTTCCGGGATACCTTCAGTGCCCTGGAATTTGGGAAGAAGAGATGCTTGTAGGTGGTGTGAGGATCAAAGCAGAAGAGCGAGGTGTGGCTTGGGAAGGAGCAGTGAAGCTCTGCACCCTGCTCATCCCACCCTGGGAAGCACAAATTTGAAGTCCCAGGAGGGATGAGCATGCCCACAGCAGCAATCCCTCTGGCCACCTGAGAAGGGGAGAGGGCCACCTCAAAAGTGCATGTGAGCACACAGCAAGGGTGGGGGTGGCTGATGATGGCAGAGCCCAAGGGGCATAAGTACAAATCTGAATGCCAAAAAGGAGGCAAAAAAATAAAAAAGATGGTCCACCCTGCTACATACTGGGGGTCAGAGCCTGCCTACTGGCACATTGCTGGGAAGGGCAGGAGTTCCTGATGGTGCCAAGGTTTTGGTTATGGCTGTTACTGGTGTGGCAACCACAGACCAGCTTTGAGCAAGGTGGGAGTCATGCTAATAACCTCCTCATGCCACCAAGAAACCTCTGACTTTATTGTTAGAGCATCCCCCAGCCAAAAGCAGCAGTGTATCCATCCTGATGGCTTGGAAACGGCCCAGGGAAGTCAACACTGCCTGACTCATGGTGCATCTCCAGGCATTCCCCCAGAATAGCCAAATAAGCAAACGTAAATCTGATTTCAAAAAGATGGAGAAGGAAAGGGAGGAAACCCAAACATGCACTGACAGATTCACGTATCAGAGGCTCTTTAGCAGAGACAAGCTATGCTGGGGAGGGAGGGAAACCTCTGTCTCCCATCCCAAACTCTTACCGCTTGTACCACGCTTCAGCCTCTTTGTTCTGCCCCAGGGAGCGGTGAAGCCTGCCCAGGTTCACCATGGCGACATGGTGAGAGGGGCTCAGGCTGATGGCCTGCTTGTAGTGGGACACGGCTCGCTCGGGAGCCCCTGGAGAGGAGAACAACTGTTAAATTGGTGCCTTAGAAACATCCTGCTGCAAATTCAGCACACAGTAATGCTCTGGGTGTTCTTGCAGCTATTGCTCTGTGGGTGTGGGAACCATTTTAAAAAATAAATCCTGCTTCAGCCTCTCTAGAGATTAAAAAATTCCTGTTCAAATTAAGATTTAAGCTCCAGTATCCAGTGCTGGTTCTAAGAAACAGATTTTTCTAGGGGTGAGTTTTTGCAAGTCGAGGGTATAGTCACCAGAAGAAGACTGCTGAGAGCACTCTGCTATGATGTGGGGGTGGATGCACCCTAAGGACGGAGCCCAACCCAGCGAGGGGGCTGAGGCCCATGTCCCAACTCCCAGGAGAGCAACCTTCCACCCTGGCCCACTGGAGAGACGGGCAATGGCAACATGGAGAACAAGTCACCCAGTATCCCCACAACCCCACCAGAGCCGCAAATAGTTCCTGCTCGTTCCAAACAGACTATTCCCTCCACCGCTGTTGTGCTGGTCCTGCTCAGCCTCTGTGCATTGCTCAACAGGGCTGGGAGCAGCTGCCAGCAACCAGCTCATTCCCACCTCAGGGCAATAAAGGTGTGCAGGTGCCTATTTTGGAGCATGTAGGCACCATCTCTGTGTAGCAGAGGAGCCATTGGGTGGCACTGCTTCGCTGTGCGAAAACGTCTACTGGTGCACATCTACCACAGCCCATGACATCGTGCAGCACCACAACAAAATACAACACTGAGAAAAGAAAGGTGCCTGACCACAACCCCCAAAGCCTAAAGTTCTGTTTCTAATAGAGTATTTTTATTTAGTTAAATAATGGCTTTCCTCAAGAATTATCTTGTGGTGCTTTCTTCAGGCAGGGCCTGCTGACTACCTACTAAATAAATTAATGGGGCACAATATAAAGTTTCAACATTTCAGCAATGCAAATATTGAATTTTTAACCCCAGTGCTCATATAATTGGTTTGCACACTCTAGACCAGATAATCTCCCGATGAAAGCTGATACTCACAGAGCTTTGTCTACCAACAAAGCTTCTGAGTATTGGCATTTTTTAAGCCAAATCACTTCACAATGTATTTAATTCCCTTTCTAGCTGGAAAGCAGGACTTGAAAACAGCCTGCATGTGTTGGGGCACTGAACGTATGCTGCTGTGGGAATTTTATTGTCATAGCTTTTCAGATCTAGTTTGGCTTTCCTGAGACTATCTATGCAACATAAAAGTAATGCTGACACTTCTCGTCAACTCCTTTACAGGAGAGAGGAGGAACATCTGTAGGGAGATTTAGAAGCACTTAAGATTCATTCAAGGCCAGTGACACAACTTTCAGGGTAGGACTTTTTCAAACCATTCAGCAGCAGCCTCGGTCTTCTCCCATCACTGAGCAGGCAGATGTTTTTCAAAATCCAATCTACAAAACATCCTGGGAAGCAGCTGGGCATGCACCTCAGTCTGTAAGTCAGCCCATGCCTCCCCTGCTCAACACAGAGGGGTAATGTGCATCATTTTGGGAGACACACAGGGTGCCTGTAACCACTGCAGAGCAGTCTGGAGTTACGGCTCCCCGACACTGACACTCGCTGGAGGCTTGTGGCACAAAGTCCTGCAAGTTAATTGGAGTGGTGCTTCACAGCATCATCCCGTGCCCACCAGGAAAGAGCGCAGCCTGTGATGGGCTCGCTACCAGCCACTTCCTTCCAGCTTTGTTGTGCCTCCAGGGGGGTTATTTACGCATCATGCCTGAAGTATTGAAAGTCAGTGGGGTTTGTTGTTTGTGTGTGGGGAAGTGTAGGAGTAAACCAGGAAGAGTTATTTTGACTTTGGCAGAATGCACAAGTGCAAAAAGTAGAAAGTGCACTGCACTGCATTTGAACCACAGGTTTTGGCAGGGATAGGGCAGTTTATCTGGGTTGTGAAGCAAAGATGAGTACAACATCAGAGTGAAATTACTGAGGAATTTTTATTATTTGCAGGCTTGAATTTTGCCATGGCATAAATTCAGAACCTCAACCTCTGTTGCTATTGCCACGATGCCTTTTTTGATTATGAATACTCATTTTGGCTTCGTATTTATTTCACAGTGGTACTACAGAAGAGCTATGACTGAGCATCAGCTCAGAGGTAGGACAGTCAGCAGCAGATAGACAGACACCATCGTCCTTTCTTCCCAAGCACCACTGGAGCCAGGCACAGTGTGAAAGGGGCAGAATGGGTAGCAAACACACATGTTAAGTCTACAATATTTCATCACTGAGTCTCAGCTCTGTTCAGGAGGGACTGGAGTGAGACAGTACTTTGGTTTCTGCTAGTCATTTGTCAAACTGTGCCTTGCTTATAAAGCTGTCAATAAAAGGCAGCAATTACAGTGGCATTTTTGTTGTTGTTATGTGGATGCCAGGAAGTGCCTGAGTCCAGGGAAGTTGGATGGGAACCAGCAGCCCAAAGAAGAAAGGCTTTAGATGTCATTATGGAGTTCCTGAGAAATCAATTCACCCTATAGTATCTTAGGTTTTATTTTCACAGATGATTGTGGTATAAAAGCCGTGTTTGTTTTTATAGCGGTGGCACTCAACCTTTACAGTCAAAGAGCTGTAGCCGCCGAGTAGAGCTGCAAGCGCTCCAGAGACCATAATGATCCACTTGCATGCCTGGGATTTGGTTTGATGTGGCCATGCTTTCCTAGAGAAACAGCAATATTGTCAGGGTGCTGCCCAGTTCACACTGAAGAGGACAACTGCCTGTACGAAGATGGTGAGAAACACCGAAGGTAACAGCCAGGCTGAATGCCACTGCCACACAGTGCCCACACTGATTACAAATTTCAGTACGCTGTGCCATCTCAGCAGCACGGGGATATTTATTTCCAAGCTACAATGGAGACACATCTATTGCTTTGGAAGCTTTTGACATCCTTTTAGATGCTACTGCTGAATCAAACAAATCAAAGCATATAAGGCAGAGAGGGAAAATCCCTTGCTCCTTCTCACTTACCAGTATCAACCAAGAAAACGCCGTAGTTGTTATGCAGATCAGAGCTTTCAGGACAATTCTCTATGCCAGCCTTATAGACCTCCTCTGCTTCCTTAAGCCGTTCCTTAAAAGAGAAGGAGATTTCTCAGCTGTGGCAGGAAGGGCGTCAGCACCATTTGCTGCACACCTGCATTTTGTGACAACTCCCTCACTGCATGGGGAGCTCAGGTGCCAGTGCACCCCAGCTTCTAGAAGGCCAAAATTTTCCCCCATGGCATGGATGCAATACAGCTGCTGTCTGGTACCCCAGAGCAACTCAGACAGCTTTCCCCCATACATCTGCAATTGGAGCTACCTGTGAAACAAAAAATAACAGCTGGAAAAGGTGGCTCCTGTGTAATGCCGGCGAGCCCCAGCTGGGCACCCACCCAGCCAGCAAATGCACAACGACAAGGGTCGTGGTGGTTCCACTGAGAAATATCTGTCATCTGGGAGCTGATATATTTTAATGCATTTACTTAATGAGCATCTTACTGGCTAACTTTTCCCCTCTGCAGCTCTGCTGTTCATTCCCTAAGCAGAAGGGAAAATACAAGGAACGAAAGATTGACACGCGTAACAGCTCGGGCATGGAGAGCTCATTTGGGGGATGAGGGAAGTTGGTGGAGGATGAGGGGTAATGAAAAAGGGGGGAAAACCTGACAGGTACAGATTAAAACCAGGCGTCATCAGTGGATAAGGCACAGCTCACTAGGACTGATGGGCTGTGCCACTGCGCTGATTCCCAGATGCGCTGAGCCTTTACATTTTACACAGATTTCAAGGAAGTTTGTTGGTGCTGAGTATTTCTGGAAAATACAGATCTTCTCTTTGGGAAGATCATGCCTACAGAAAGTGTCCCACTGGCTGGGCTCTGTCTAGCCTGAGCTATGGACAGCCTGGTCCTGAAACAAAAACAAGGTGTCTCGTTCAGATCAAGTATGTTAGTTTAATAAGGCTTCCATTTCTCTCCAGTCAGACAGTGCGTGCCTACTGCCTGCACGCTTGCTAGCACCATTTATCATGGTTTTCCTCCACTCCTTAACCTCAGAGCCTTGTTGCTGGAGTGTACCTATGGAAGGAGGCTGTGAATAGCAGATACAAGCACGGTGCAGACACCCCTCTTGTCAGGCAAGTTTCCAGCACCAAAAATGCTTTTCTTACTCTTCCCCTTCTGTGGAGTGGTGCAGCCCTGTGGTGACAAACCCCACGGCCTCCTGACCGTGCTCCCATCTCAAGCAAAATCAGCTGCCTGGATCCCTGCCAAGGAAGGCCTGGAGTCACCAAGGCAGACCTTCTCCTTGGGAGCTGAATCCACGTTGAAATAAGAGGTGGGTCCATTCCCAGCTCTCCTCAACTCCTGCAAATCTCAGAGCCTCCAGGGCTGTCTCTGGATTTAAAGGGTGTACCTGATGGCAGCTTTTGCTCTGTAGCTGCTTAAATGCATGGATTCCTTTCTCACCTCCTATTTCAGAACTGGAGAGCTGGAATTAATCGCATTGGAAGAGTATGACTTGATGAAAGCACATGGTTTGCCATGGTTAAGTGCTTTCACATTTACATGATAAAGGTCAGCCAGCAGAAAAGGTAATGTGTGATAAAACACAGAAACATATTTTTTAAAAGTGCTTAAGTTTGGACATTTTGGATATATTTACGCAAATTTGACATCATTACCCTGCGGGGTCAGGAAAAGTGTAGTGATCATCAGCATTTACTAAAATGAAGAGCAATTTTTTGAGAAAGCATCTGTGTAACCGAGACATTACCAAGCATATTTTCAAAGCTTTCTGTATTAACTTATTTTCCTCTAATTTTAATTTTCAGCCAAGGAATGTGGCTTTGTGTGCATGTATGCCAGTTTTCTTCATGTTATTTACTGATCATAAACCTGATCTTTAAAGCAAGGAAGGGCTGTGTTAAACTGGGTTAGCAGCGTCCCACATCAAAACACTCAAACACTCACCAATATTGAGCACTTTTAGCATTTTTATCATGGCTGCATTGCTTTTTTGGCACCTAACATCCTGATGCTGTGTGTCTCAGGCTCAGTGCAGGATCTGGGATGATTTCCCTAACCAAGTGTTTGCATTAAGTGCAGTCAGAGATTGGGAAGGGTGGGCCCAGCTTTTTGTGCCAGAGCTTTCTCCTTCACAGCCTCTCCTCTTCTTGGGAGAAATGCTGTAAGTTCATCAAGGCTTCTCATTAACACTTAATAATGCCACTCCCAGGCCTTCATGAAACATTCATCAACCTCACAAAATTCAGAAGATTGGCTTAAAAAATGTATGAGATTTTTATGATATTAAAAAAATTATGCATGTGAGAACCTCTCAGTTGAACTCCAGGGTTTTTAAGCCTGTTTTTTTTATGGCTCAGTTTTTCAGTGTGGTTACGCCTGAGTAGGCTCTCCTCTGCAGCTAAGTGGGTTAGAAAGTTTCTTCTTCTTAGTGTAGGCTGACATCATTACACACACACACACAGATCACTTGAACCCAGAAACTAAGGCCTAAGAAGAGCCATCAAGTAGCACGAGATGGCTGATGAAAGTGCAAGAGCTGGGAAGAAGGTGCTGTTCAAGTGCATCTGAGTAAATCCAGGGAAACCAGCGTTACAGGAGTGTTGTGAAAGTGGCAAACAAAATCGTGTGATTTCTGCTATCGGCTCCACTACAGTGATCATAGAAAACAAGGAAAACAACAATACATTGCAGCTGAGTTACGATACCAAGCAGAAAGAGCAGTAAGAAGTGCAAACATCTATAAAAGGCACAAACAAGCCAAACTGTTTTATACAATGTGGAGGTGGCTTTTTCCACATCAGCTCTGGCTTCAGAATCAACTACCAAGGAGAGAAAAGGGCAATTACACTGAGTTACAGGCTAATTCCCTGGTGCATGAGGCATTCCTCTCAGGAGCATTTTTTACAGCTGTGGGAGGAAAGGTCCGTAAACCCCATTTTGGATTCATTGCCTTTAAGATAGGGAGGAACACGCTGTGTGGGACCAACCAAGGCAATCCCCACACTATTTCACTGAGCCACTTTCACCCATATTCCTGTTTCTTAGCCTTAGTGCAAAGCTAGAGGAGCAGAAGTTTGTCACGGGCACGATCGCGTCATGCAAGTTATTTTAATGTGCCACTTACAGCCCCTTTCTCACCTAACCCAGGTGAGAGGGAACCAGTTCATGCTCCCTTCCTCAAAACTCCACAGTGACGCTGTCCATACAGCCCACTGCATACTGCCTGGCATCACAAGGTGATGAGCTACAAGCTCTGGGCTACAAGTAGACAGCAAAACAGGTTTGTAACTTTTAGCCATTTTGGATGCTATTGCTTGGACAAAGAGGAAAACCCCAAACTGAAAAACATGTATCATGGCGCTGAAGATGCCAAAATTTCAGCCTGTACCCCTCCAGGAAGCACACAGCATTCTGCAGCCTGCAGCCATGGGCAGCAGCACGTATTTGTAGGACAGCTCCGTACCATGGTCCATAGGATGAGTGTGTGAGGCAGCAGCTCCAGGTAGTCAGTAGATGACCAAGTAGTCATCTGCTGTGGCTGCACACAGAAGGTGTTAAAAGCCTGCAGGATATCACTATTGTCTGAGGAAATCGTGCTATCTTTTTCCCCTACCACTTACTCAAGTCACAAGAGGATGAACAATCTATACATAAAAGTAGATTAATTATTGCTGGACTTACGAATGACATTTTCTTTGGGCAGAAGGTCTTAGGACTCTATAATGGTTTTACTGCTCTGTTGACCTTTCAATCGATGGTTCTAATTAATAATTTCAATTAATATTAAAACCAGGTATTACTGTGGAGGACTCATTTCCTATACTTGCAGGAGACTCTCCATTGATAGGCTTATTCAAAACACAGTTCCCATTCAATAAGGTTCTTCTTTCAATTCATACACTATGTTTCTAGGTCCCTTCAGCCAATATTGATAATACTTAAATATTTGAATGTCACTTAAAAGGGAAATTAAAATAGCACATCTTTCAGTAACCCACATATATCCTAGGTGAATTTTGCAGAGTGGCTACATCATTAAAGAAGCCTAAACCAGAACAAGACCTTTGCTTATAGTTTTGCTGAAATGTATCCACTTCCCTTACAGAGAAAAGATTTCACTGACCAGATTAATGGAAAACAGAGAAAGATGATACTCCCTTCCTTTGGCTGTATTTGCATTTGGCAACCTTTTAAGAAAGCTTTAGCATTCTGTGCTATGGGACAGTTAAATCTGAAATTTGGGGGAGAAAAAGATCAGTTTTCAGAAGGTCGGAGCTGTGCAGTTATGAGGACCCCGCCACCCACCCTCGTAGCCCCAGGCTGGGGCCACTGGTTGTGGCCACAGTCCATGGGAGCAACATCCAAAGCACAGCATCCCTCATCTGCTGCTGCAGGCTCGGAGAAAAGCAGGGCTTGGTGGTCTTGATGTGGGCACCCACGCTTCAGGGCCTCTTCTGAACTCAAGCATTTTGTGCCTCAATTTCCCTTTTCCTCCATGGGGACAATATTTCACCTCACAGAGACCTTGTAGAAATAAATTACCTAACTACAGAGAGTAGGGAGAGCCCCAAGTAATGAGCACGGGGAACAAGCCCAAGAGGAAATGAGTAATTTTGCCTCCAGAGCACAGCCTGGGCTGTGCACAGTAAATAAGGCCTGGGGGCACATACTGAAAAATGAGGTTAAACAAAATATCCAACAGCTGCTCATTAAGAGTAACACAAAGCCAGCGAGCCTTCCCACCCCCTGTACGTGATCATCTACCATGGTAACTAAGGGCTGTATCCCAATGTGTCCATTCAAGGGGCAGAATTCAGGCTGCAGAGGCCACCTGGTTTCTGACATTTCCTAGCTTTGGAGTGATTCATTCTGAAATCTCAAGGTTATCTATGTAGGCATGTGTGTCTGAGGGGGAAGCACTCGCCTATTCTGCTGTCACAACACTCAAGGTGCGACAGATTAAGACTTCGCCAGAGACGTGGGGAGCTGTAGAGAGGATATTTACTCGCAACTCCAACAGTGATTTAATTCAGAGCCACATCATGTGGGTGTAATTACTCACTGCGAATGAGTTGCCTCCTATCCTGAAAAAGCCATCTCGAAAGCAGCCCAAGAGCTCCCTGCAGACAGCCGCGGACCCACGCCTGCCACTACATTCGTGCAAGGCGAGGGCGCTCCATTGGGATGTGCTGGAGGTGTTGCGGCTGCTGCAGCAGTGCATCTATAAGTGCAGAAGATACAAGAACTTGAGCGATGCCTGTTGTTACCTGTTCAGCTAGCAGCGAGGCCAGGCTTGAGTAGGCATCTGCGAACTCTGGGCCGTACTTAATGGAGTCCCGCAGTAAGATTACAGCTTCTTCCTTTTTCCCTTGGGTCCTGCAGCCAGGGAAGGAGGGAAAAAAAGACAAGAAAAATTCCTGTAAACACACGTTTAGGTCATCCCACTGACTTAACTACTTTAAAGAGACGTGAAGGTCCTCAGCTTGAACATCTCTACAAAGACTAAATGGTCCACTCATGCCTCCTCTCCATGGTGTGTGTACCCAGCATCTCCCCAGCACATCTCTGTTTCCATATGTTATTCTCAGGAGCTAGGAGGACATAGGCTTTAATGAACCTGCTGTTTCCTCTGCTATTCTGGTGGCTGTCATTATGCAACAATCCCAGTGAAGACAAAATGCCCCCAAAATAGTGCATTCCTCAACCCCACGCACTGAAGAGCGAAAAGTATTTTATTTTGGCTATCAGGCAATCAGCACAGGCCACATGCTCTGCCTGTTGAGTCCACAACCACTAGATTTTGTGAACTTCTGTAGTCCTACTGTACATCACCTCTCAATATTTCTCTTTATGGCAAATATATAAAATTCTGCTCTATTTATCCCATCAGAAGTTGAAGACACATGAAAAACGAGTCAGCAAAAGTGTGCCCCTGGCATGAGGAACTGTACAAGACCCTCCAAGCGATGTCCTACAGGAAAGGACGCTGGTGGGGTAACAGCAGGTTTGCAGTCAGCTTCTGGAGGTCTGGCCCCAGTCATGTCACCAAGGCACTGAGTGACCTGGGAACAGGACATTTGCCAGCAACCCTCCAACCAGCAGGTTAGAGAGACACCAGACATTTCCACTTCCTAAAAAAAAAAGTGAAGTCTTTGAATGTTCCTAGACAACGAGTGTTGTTATATATCTACTTATGACTTAGTTAAATTAATACTTTGAAATTAAAATATTGCTAAGTTAAATCTGCCTGGGATCTCTAAGTAATTCCTTAGCAAGTCGATCATTAGGCTAGAGGAGTCTGTTCTTCAGATCCTAAGGATTATGAAGAGATACTTGAGAGACCGCTATGCTGATGAGCTAGGGTTTTTTTCCTAGCATTGCTATGATCTTATTGCCATGGAAAACAGAAAAGGGTTCCTGAACAAAAATCTAAGGATGTTTATTTATTTGAGCTACATTTTCTCCAGTATCACTCTGTCTTTCTTTCCTTGAGAAAATCAGAAGGTTTCCTGAACTGACATCTAAGGATGTTTAGCTGGACTGGAACAACATTTTCCTTGTGTTGGGTGTACAAAGAACATGAATAGCAGGGCTTACAAAAAGAAACAAAGGGCTCTGGGACACAGAAAATATGTGAACACCTTGCTGCTTTGGCCTTAGATTTCATCTGAGTGACATGGTCAAGTAACCAGATCTTGTTTATAAGGTGCAAATTTCAGCTGATAATATATATGGCTTTGCAGATTTTTCCCTTTCTAGTTGTGTAACTGGAAGAATATTTTGCCTGTGCATTAAGCTAAGTAAAACCAGTTGTGCTAGTCTTTTTCTTCTTCCAGTGGTGTTCCATATAAATTACAGGAATGAAGCAAAACAAATAAAGAGCCACTTTTCTCCTACACTAATTAAAGACTAGTGAGCTTGTCAATTTATAAAACTTTTGGATCCCTTGGCTGGAGTTTCACGACACTTTTTCATAAATCAAAACCAGATGACTGCTTTATAAAGGTATTGATGTTTGGCAAAAAAAAAGTAGGAAATGCCAGCTACAGAAATAAAAGGATTAAGTGATCCACTCAGCAGCAGTAAAAGTCCCCATTTACCACAAGCATGCACTCTAAACATGGGGCAGCCCTCTTAATTACTTTTTTCCAAAATGGCCTTTTTTTTTTTCGTTTGATCCAAGAATAATGTTTGTCTCCTGAAAGTAGGGGTAGTGAGGGAAAGATTATAGCATCTTTTTATGTGACAGACTGAATTATATTAAAAAAAGCAGATCCAGTAGTTTCACAGAGGGCTCAGGCCTGCAAGATACCAAGTGCTCTGGCCAAGCACTTAAACGCATACTTAACTTTTATGTATGCAAGTTGAAAATTAATTACTGGCTGAAGTGCTTTCCTGGATCAAGGCCAACGCTTTGCAGGATCGAGGCTGTCGCTTATACAGATTTCATGCAATTTAGGAGAGCAGAGAGCATTGGAAGAACAGTCCAATACACTAATTTACCATAAACTGGGGATCTGGAGCAGGAAAAGCTAGGTAATGTATACCTTCGCTATGACAGAGAGAGGAACAAATTCAACTGACACAAGGAGTCTGTGATCACTTAATCCAATTTTTCCCCAAATTACCTTGCCTTACAATGCCCTCTCCTGACTCTCTCTTCCACTTGGGCTCCCAGCTTCCCCTTTACAGGGGAAAGAGCTGTTCCTTGCTCTTGGCTCCAGTACCTCTTCCATATTCTTGCAAGTACCCCACAGTTGGATAAACATCAGCTTAAACCTGGTCTTGGTGGACAACAAGTTGACCATGGGCCAGCAAGGTACCCTACATGGCGAAGAAGACCAACAGTGGGTGCAGGGAAGTGATGCTTCCCCTTTATACTTGTGAGACCACATCTGGAGCAATGTCTGCCCAGAGCTGGGCTCCCCAATGCAAGACAGGCATGGACATCCTGTTAGCAAGTTCAGCAGAGGGCCACTAAGGTGGTCAGGGCTAAAGCACCCATTGCATGAGGAGAGGCTGAATGAGCCATGTCTGTGCAGCCCGGAAAAGGGAAGACTCAAAAGTTAATTTAGTGCTACCTGCAACTACCTGGTCGGAGGATACAGAGAAGCCAGAGCCAAACTCTTCTCAGAGACGCATGGTGACAGAACAAGAAGCAACACACACAAGTAGGAACATAGGAAATTCTGATTACAGATAAGGAGAAATATTTTTCACCATGAGGGTGGTCAAACTGGAACAGGTTGTGCAGAGAGATTGTGGCATCTGTCCTTGGACATGTACAAGATTCTGCTGGACAAGGCCCTGAGCAACCTGATCCAATTAGACTTGCTCTGAGCAGCGGGCTTGTCCAAATGACCTCCAGAGGTCTGTTCCCACCTAAGCTATTCTTTTAATCTACTGTAAATTTGACACTGCCAGAGTTTGAGGGTTTTTTTTATAAACAGGCTACAATGTGTAAGTGATACTGATGGATAACTACAGCACTTTATGCAACACAGGGTTCTTGTCTGCAGTATTATCACTGAACATTATCACTCAGTTTGCTTCTCTGAATGGAAGGGAGGAATGTTTCCCTCTCTGAAAGATCTTAAATCTCAATACACATCATATCTACCTGATGTTTTTCAGCATCTTCGGTTACCCAAGCCTGTGTCAGCACATTCACATATATACTTATCCAGAAGCTTGTATCAGAGAGGGCAGACAGTCCTTCTTTCTCTGAATAGATGGATTTGCTAAACTTGGACTAAATCACAGCAACAAACACACAGGACACCTTATGTGTTACTCTATATTCAGAAAAGAATCAGCTCTTTGAATAAACTCAAGATTTCAGTGGACATTGTTTCCACGGATTTCACTTTCCCCATGAAAATGCAGCCACAGCACTCTCAAAGCATGTAAGAGTTACAAGGCTTTTATTTGCAAGAAGAAATGGTTTACTGAATATTGGAGTGCTTTGGGTGTGCGTAGACACAGTACTGCAAATAAGAAGTTCTCTCTCATTCTTCCTGCAACAGAAAGCCGAGATATTTACTTCAAATATTCATAATATTTTATTTCTTGTCTCTACAAAATATCCCACAAGCTATAAATTTCTGAGGTATTCTGAATGATATATCAGTTTTTCAAGCTGTATCTCAACAAAACTGCATCTATATAGAGGACTTCGGTATTTATATAAAAGGAAACTTCAAAACAAAACACAAGAAAGTAGCATCAGGCTGCTGTGTGTCACTGATCATGGACCATGAAAGTGGAGAAAGAGATTTCTCACTATTAGGCAGGCCATCTTTTGGGTCTATTTTAACTAAGAAATCTGTTGGCACTGTTTAATTATCTACTTTCCAATATTTACATTAGGCAAGAAAATGATGACATACAACTTTATTTTAGGATATGTAAACAAAACCAGAAGCTTATTCAATCATTACAACCAATGCTTCCTGAGAACATTCATCTTCTGGCACATAGCTGTCTTCATTATGTCCAAACAGAAAATGGAAACACCCTTTTTCATCTAGGACTTCCACAGAAAAAAAAACTTTAAAATTCCACCCTGCAGTCCTAAACCAAGATTTTTACTCAAGCTAAAATCACAAGCAATAGATGCTTAAACAGAGAGCTTATTTACAGGGAATAATGAGAGGCAGATTCCCACATGGGACTAGCAAACCCATCCTTCCAAAATCCTGGAGTTCCCCTTTCTCAGCACTCCAGAGGAGGTGAAATCTAATATCCGCCATTGGATTTCCATGCTAGGAGCAGGGGTGGGTGTAAGGAACTCAGCAGAATTCAACTGGGAGTTCCCTGTGCCAGACGGTTTCCTTACGGGTCTTGGTACAAGCAGTGCTGTTACTGGACGTGCCTTACGTGTTGCAGATGTGGACATTCCCGATCTGCACCATGCACTGAAGCCTCTGCAAAGAGGACATAAAATGTTTTCCTGGCTTGACCATTTATCCTCTCTCTGCCATATGTTTAAAAATGAAAACACTCTTCATAATGTCTCATAGTACAGCCAGAAAGTAATACTGCCTGTAATATTGTGCAGATTTTCATTTATTACCTAGATTATACTGGCATTTAGTATCTGCAGAATACTGGTTGCCCTATATACATATACAGGAAAGGATAATTCAGAAAGCCAGGTAGAAAACATAAATAAAGACAAAGTGGTAGGAAGGGGAAGCTTGAAATCTCTGCCTGGTTCCCATCTGGTCATCTCACATGTCACCTCACGCTCCAGCAGGGCTGATGATCTCTGCTAAGTTGATGGATGATCCAGGAAAGGTCCCGGCAAAGGGGTTTGTTTGTGCTAGCGTTGCAGGGGAGACATTCACATAGGATATGCCAGTATCTGCTTTACATAGCCCTCCACCACAAACTCTACCTATTTTTTAGCAGGTTTTTTTCAAGCTGAATAGGGAGATGAGGATACCCAGTTTCCGCTACAGTTAATGCTCTCGATGTGTCCAGATGCACTAGGCTGTTTTGGAAGCCCCCCGAAAAAGTCTAGAAAATAGAAGCAACTGCATGTGTTAAAAGTGCAGGTGGAACCAGTTTCTACCCATCTTCTGGGTCATAAGAGCCCATCAACTAGCCAGATTTAAGCATTATTGATATGGGATGTTCTGGTGCTGCTTCTGGCTTACATCTTTTTGTATTAATATTTTATATTTTTTTAAAAAAATCACAGAGAATAATAACTAAGGCAAACATGATGGATTAAAAGGACAATATGTATTTTTAAAGAGTACTGCCACCTAAGATTAATTTATATCAACCAAATTTGATGAATAATACAAAGATCTTGCATTTCTCCTGTCATAAGAGTGTCTTTACCATTTTTCTTTCTTGTGAGTATTTCCAGTAAAGCACTCATCTACTTTCTATTAGACAATTACTCAGCTGCCATATTCTAACCCAGAACCATCAAGTTTACGTATAGTATTATTCTGGTAATTTCTCCACTAACAAATGGACCAGGCAGAACTTCAGCAATACACTTAATATCTGTCATATAAACTCACACTTAAATTGATATCTCAGAACCAGAGACCACGTGTTTTGATGAGACAGTACCACTTTAAAATGAGCCCAACACTAAAGCGTGATCTACTCTAAAATATTTACCAGAGATCAACTGCCAGCAAAATAAGTGCAGTTTATATCAGCAAAAATGTACTTTTGCTGCTGTATTTGATGCAGTTCTATTGGCAAATAACATGCTACCCTCAGAAAAACAAGGGGGTTTTTTTGCTGGTGCAAATTAGTAATGCATGAATAGAGATTTATTGTTTTTTTTAACTGCACTCCTAGCAGATCTTACCATATTGGCAAAGCTTCTTGTGTAGATTTAAGTTCAGTCTTTAGATATGGTTAGTCAAATTAATTTTCATGATTATGATCGTCTGCTATTCTCCTTGCTAAAGGCTGACACTCTAATAACAATGAGTGAAATTATGAGCTGATTAACTTGTTTTCTTGCTCAGCAGAGTAACTGTATAAAGATGTAAGCCAGCTTTCCCCTCAAATCCAGACCCATCCCCTCTGCAACGGGATGAATCTTTTGCTGCTCTGAGCATTTCACAGTTAGGTGCTTATGCCTAAACTATGCCTCGACCTTCCAAACAGCTAATGAGGAGAAGTGGGAATTTACAGAGAGGGATTTGTTTGATCCGTTTTATTTATTAGATCCGCATCAGATGCCTATCTTGGAACAATATTTCTTGCTCCACTGGAAAGGCTTACACCTCCTCTTGAGATGGAAGCTGCATGTAACTAGTTGGGTTTAGGCACCTCTTTCTTCGATGCCTGATCTGGCGCAACTGAATTCCCTCCAGATGAAACACAATTGTGAACAGCACCTAAAGCGATGTGGCAGACAGCATAAGGATATCCAAACAAAACCTCACCTTTGTGCTGGCACTTTTGGCCAGCAATAATAAATAACACCATTCCTTCATCAGTTGGCAGAAAAAAACTACTTTGGTGATGTGTGCAGAGAGAATGTGAATTTCCTTGGTGCCAGTTCTGCATTCAACTTACTTGAGCAGGTTGCCGAGATTGAAGAGAGCCCGATTGTGATGAGGGTTTAACTGAAGAGCCCGTCTGTAGTAGTTCTTTGCCTCCACCACGTCTTTGGTCAACGTCCCCAGGTTGTTGAGAGCACTTGCGTGACGAGGGTACAGTCTAGGAAAAATGAAATATCAAGTTACAGACACTCACTAATTGACAAATAAAGCGGAGGTCACTACTGCTGCCACCAATGCTCTTTGGCATTTGGTAAAAAGAAGGATGTCAGCGAGGAAACACTGTTTTCCCTTCATTTGCTGCAGGTCCTGATAGGATCCTGAGGAACCTTTTCAACTCCCAGAGAGACTGCAAATCAGATCTTCTCCTACAGTTCCTATATGTCTCCAGGGCAAAAGGGAACACTGAACAGCTTTGAAAGTCTATTTTACCCTCCAAGCAAAAGGCAAAGCAACTAAAGCAGCTTGAACGTCTTTATTCAAAATGTTTTTCAAACAAGCAAGGACTGCTTTGTCAAAAATATGTTTCCAACGGAAAAATGTTTTGACATATACATAAACCAACAAAACACTGTTTAAATTGATCTGCTTTGACTTTTTTTTTTTAAATCAGTTTCCTACAATAAAAGTGATAATAAAGTGCAAAAGGAAACTTGAAATCAGCTGTTGAACAATGTCTTCAGGACCAAGCAAAGTGCTAAAAAAAAAATTCTGGAAACAGACTGCTTAACAGTATAAAATCACTAAGCTTCTAGTTCTATTTTTTTACCACTTGGCTTGGTTCTCCTTTTAACTGATCTGTGGATCTTTACATCTACCTGTTCCAGTTATAACACTATGTATTGGGCCAAGTACATCTCTGTTAAAATTCTCCATGAATTAAGAAGCATGTCGTGGTCCATTCAGCTGCTTAAATTCTCAAAGTTGTGCTCCTACATTAATATTTTGGCTTGTAGGTCTTTCAGCAGAAATGTCCAGGGGTGAAAGTGATCCAAGATTTAGCACCCAGCACCCACTGTGTCAAAGATGAGTGAAAACTAAGGTCCATTATGATAAAGGAGCCCACATTGGCCCCAGGCAGGCTGGGGACCATCTATGCGAGAAGGTCGGATGCTCCCATATGAAGCAGTGCGCAGGAGCTTGCCCACTGAATTCCTCCAGATGATCACTGGAAGAAGTGGGTTAAGACAGTCAAGGCTTTGGTTTGAGAACACCTAGTTGCAAATTCTGCTGCCACTGCAGATTTTCTATTTTGGACCATGAAAAGTCACCTGACATTTCTTTGCCTTAGGTCCCTGGGGTTCATGGCAAAGTGATGTGGATAATGACATTAAAAGTAGTTAGCTATGATAGCCCAGGGTATGGTACGAGGAGGGGCATTTAAAGGAAGAAGAAAGGATTAAGACTCTATAATATAGTCTGACTCTAAAGTTCACAGCTGTTTTTAATCTAAAACTTTCCATGGTGGGTTTTTTTTTTTTGCCTGGAGTTTTTCATTATGTCAGTTCAGCCCTGGGATTTTCTGTGCTTAAGTACCGTGAATAATTTAGCATTTTATACACTGCTGCAACATTTGTATCAGTCACATTTTTGCTCCACCGCACATAAGCGATTTTGGCAAGGTCTTACTTGGAGGTGAAGTTGGGAACGCACGAGTAAATTCTGGAGAAGTGGACATGCACTGGTAACAAACCTAGGATGCTTCCTACAACTAGGTAAGAGAAGAGCCCAAAGTCCTTTTTCCACCCAACATCAAACCTAGCAGACAAGTATTGCAAAGCCACATCATTGAGGAGAGATCATTCAAAGATGCAGCCACGTATTTTTTTTAAACTTAGCCTATTATAATGACAAATGATAAATGTTAGTGACCACCACTTATAGTAACTGAGAACTGTGTATTCTGTCAACATCTCTTCGATACATATGAGCATCTCAGATGCGTTTCTCAGAGGTAACCACTTCTGCTGCAAGACCAGTGTCTCAGTTCACCCACGCTACCTGCATTTGCTGCTCAAGTGATTTTTGAAGAGTTCCCTAATTGATCTCATTGCAGAGGAGCAAAGAGTAGGAAATTCATGGTGAGATTCCATCTGGCACAGAAATAGTACCACTTCCCACTGCTGAAGCTACCCAGTGAGCCTGATGCATTTCGGGATGTGAAAGGCTGCCTGCGCTTGGAGAAGCAGCAGCAAAGGACAAGACGGTGATGAGGGTACAGCGTTGAGTCTTGACTTTGGCCCTTAAATGCACTGGTCACCCAGGCTAAGCCTCCTCTGCTGAAGCAGGCTGGGAAAAATGCTTTCCACAGCCACAGCAGGGGAGCCACTGAAAGGACCAAGCTTGCTTGTTCTTCTGCACTGGGGACACAGCTCTGTGTGATGCCTTGACCAGGATCTTCAACAAAGAATGTCCTATCTATCTTAGGGCAAACAACTGAGGGCTCAGCCTTGTTTCCCATTTCTTCCATGGGATTTTGACATTGGTTTTGGACCAAAAAAAACCTCAATGTTTGGGAGTTATATTTTTGAGGCTTTTTTTCCAGTTGGGTATGATAAAAGTTGTACACTACTTCTGTCAGTACTTGCACATAAAAACAGCTCCAATATCTGCCATGAAGTCACTTGAGTTATGAGTGGGCAAAAGTATTTCAGACAATTCTTGGGAAAGTCAGAAACAGGTTAACATTTTACAGCCCCAAACCCGATGGTTTTGCTCTCAGACTTTCAGGAATTAATTCTGTTCTTGGCCTCTAGTACTCCCGTGAGATTTTAGGCCCAAGAGATTTGCTTGCACCAATTTGGAGAGGAATGAAAACTCAAGATTAAAAAAGAGAACTGATTTCACCTTTAAATTGCACAGCTCTGACCAGCAACTCAATAAATACACTTCTGAGCTCAGTGCTAAAACCTCTTGACAGCAAATCACAGGATGTAAGCATGTCTCCCAGGTATCCTGGGCTCTATTTCTTGTGTTTTACATTTATTCATTACATCTCATTGCCCTTTCCAAGAAATAGAAGTGAAAAAACAGAACCTCGGCTAGCACAAATTGTCAGCTCAAACCCGTTTAGCATCTGGCCTGAAGAACTTCCAATATTTGCAATTTCACATATCTGAAGAAACATCAAGAGAAAAATCTGAGCGCAGTGAGATAAGGCAGTGGGTTGGGCTTTGCCGTTAGGGTTCAGCTCTTTACAGTTTTGTTTGGAATATTACTTTATTATGGAGTTAGAGCAAGATGCCACTCAACTGAGTTCAGCAGAGAGCATAACCAAGCCCTAAAAGAGCATCATCTCTAGCAAGGTAACCAGAGCCAGAGCCTGAGCCCATGACTTGTTCACGCTGTCAAACTGTTAATGGGATCCCTTCCACTTCCACACCACCTTGATAGCTCCCAGGAGTGGTGCGGGGCTGAGCCCAGACCAGGGTCTGGTCCCAGACGCCAGCCTGGGCTCGGCTGCTGTCTCTTGGAGGATACAAATACTCACTGAATACCTGCAGGTCAATTTATACCAGCTGGCCTCAGGGTTACAGAATGGGGACCAGACCCCTTTTTATATATTAATATGAAGGCTGAAAAAAGGACTAATGACCTTATTCAAACTACCCTCTGCTCATGCACACCCACTGCTGTTAATAACAGCTTTCTGGAGATAAAAACAGAGTAGAACAAAGTCTTATGGCTGGATTAGCAGAAGAGCATAAAAGTTGACCACTGGTGACTAATTAAAGCAACATTTACTCAAGAACTCTAAAAATCTCACTGCAAAACTTGCAGATACATCATTTAAGGAACAGAGGCACATATACTTTTTTATCCCCATTTTTATGTTATTACGAGGCTTGTACTGTTTCTCAAGACTTCTGGAATTGGTCCCAATGATTCCCAATGTCTATGTTGCTTATTTTGACAGCAAGCTGTCAGATGCAAAGGCTGTCTCTTCCCCACATCTATTTATTTCTTGGAAGGATCTGACACACGTTACCAGGACAAGGAGGTCTCCAGAGTCTCTTCAAGACACAATAACACTCAGAACCCAGACCTTGTTTTACAATAGCCAGGACACTATGAGAAACAAGGAGTCAGTTGCTGGAACATACACACCTTGCTTTGCAACTTCTCTTCAGAAACAAAGCTTTTCTATCTGGACACACACAGAGCTGTATTTTCCTTGCCACCACCATTGATAATGGTAACAGTCTGCAGGCAATATCCTTCTTGCTATGCATCTGATTAGGTAGAAATTCCTCCAGGCTTCACCTAATCAAATGCAAGTGCTGCATTATTTATGAAAGAAAGCAGAATTTCATTAAACTTATTCTACAACAAGCAGTTCATGTAAAAAAAAAATTTCCTCCTTTCTTTTAGAAATCAGAATAATTCTCTTTTAAAACCTACATTCACAGGTAATTATGATAGAAGTCTTGAAATGGCAAAATTACTTTAAAAAAAAAGAACCCAACTCATAAAAGTGTATTTTAAATCAGACTGGGATTTCATTTCTAAAGAGAAGACAAGTGGGATGTTTCCTTGTTGCAGAATGAATAATTCAAATGATTCCTCCAGTGCTCTATCTGAAATTGTCAGAATAAATTTAAGCAGCTTTCCCTTTAACTATTACAGGTATACACTACACAAGAACTCCTGTTAGTAATTTTCCCCGCTTCTTTTAGGCTAGCAAAATTCCCTCTAATACCACTGAACAAAAGCCTTATTGACTCACACAGTCAAGAGATTTCCAGTTTCACAAGAAGATAACAGGCATAAAACATATACAGTCATCAAAATGCTGCTGACCATTTATTTATTTGCTTTTTAATTTAATGCCACTATTACAGAAACATTTGATTTAAAAAAAAAAAAGCAGGGTTTTGTTTAGCACCATATCTGAACTACAAGACAATTCCAGAAAAAAAGAGAAAGGGAGGGAATTTGTTGTCATGACAACAACTTATAACCCACCGAGAATTTTAATTCTTTTAATTCAGATCGAGAGAGACCACTTAAACAACTGGCAAGCTCTGCTCCCAGTCCCGCTTTTAAACGGCCCTTGGGCTGCAGCCAGAGGTATTCAGGGGACAAAAGGCATTAGCGTGACAACTCCCCACTCACTCTTAAGTGTGTTGTGTGGCTTTTGGCTGTAGGAGGCCAGGCTAT